AAAAAAAAAAAAATATATATATATATATATACGAGCCTACGAATTCTACCGTGTGGGGAAAAAAGAAGATAGACACGACGACGAAAGCTGACAAACGAATGGGTTTAGGAGAGTTAGAACGTTTCCACGTATGCTTCGTTTGGCACTTTGACCGAGGCGGAGGAGTACACGTGTCGCCGGCGCGACAGATACAGGGAGAACTGCCTCGTTCTCTGGAGCGGAAGAAAGGGATGATGTCGCGGATCGCGATCGTCGCTCTTGCATCGTGTCGAGTTGCACGGTAGACTCCCTTTTTGCCCGGCCCCGCTACAACCGATCAACAGATCGTGACTTTTCTACAGTAACAATGGAACTAACGTCAGGTTGCACCGAGTTCATTCCACTAAAATTTAACCCGCTCGAGATGACACAGATTCAAATTATCGGTAATAATAACGGTTCAATAGAGGTTCAACAATGTATTTTTTTTTTTTTCTCAATTTGAATAGTCGCGCATTGATAGCGGTACAACTTCGTATTCTGAGAAAATTGAAAAAAATTTGATTCGATAAACTTCTTTATAATCTAAACTTTGAAATCGTTTCAAAACGAAAATGCTTGAAAAGCATCTGAAAACGCAGAGAAATGGAAAATAAATGATTTCATATAATTATGAAATTAACTTTATATCTGTTGCGCGAACCTCGTTCCCAAGGGGTTAATTAACAACTCGCGTTAACGTTGCTTTGTTCTAACATTCTTCGTAACTCGAACATCGAGTATCTTTTGCTCCATCAGTCCACAGCTTTCGTTCTTTTGTCAAAAAATTCCAATACGCGTATTTTTACATTCTTCGAAACGTAAACAAACGTATTACCCAACAAAGCTAAGCAAAAATTTACTTCAAACGTTACACACCGAATCTATCTACTTTCACTTATTCGGATTTTAGCTACTCGTTCATTCGGCAGGAAGTCGGTTTGATACTGATTGCAGGACGAAGTCTACCGTACAACGGAAAACGTAAAGCGCGCTCTCCACTTGCCGCGTGCTTTCGTTCGAAATTGGCGAACTTTTTGGAGATTCGAGATGACGAAAAGTCGTCTGACATGATAAAAGAAACGCAGAAAGGTAAAGGCAAGCGAATCGGTGGTTCGCGAGGTCGTTCGCGGTCGTAACGCATTGAAAGTGTATTTCTCTCTCTCTCTCTCTCTCTCTCTGTTTCTCAATCTATCTCCCCTGTTTTATTGCTTCGTGGTCGAGATCCTTGAGAGTGCGACGGTCGCGCGACGACCGCCGATATCGCTTTTTTTTAATTTTCTCTTTTTCTATATTTATTTTTTTAAATAATTAAGTGATTATTTATATAGCGTACGCGGGTGAGCGCGGTGGAACAACGTCGCGCGTATCGTGTCGTCGGAGCTAAGTCTAACGCTAGGAACCGAATCGGTGAGATTGGCGAAACAATCGCAATGGAGAAAATAAAAATCAAAAGAAAGGAAAAAAAAAACATACGTAGGATAATTGAAGAACGAAACGTGCGATGCGATCGAATCTACGCGCGACTTTTTTTGCTCTTTTTTCTTTTACGCGTACACGCGATGATAATTGCGTCTTCTCTCGTCCTCGCTGTGTCTC